GAAAGAGGGGGATGCACCTAGCAAGAAATGGGGATCGGCACCTGCTGGAATTTTGCTAACAGAGCTGTGCTCCTGGGGATCTTGCTAAAACAAAAGTGTTGTAACTCAAGCCTACAGCAAGTGCTTTTCAACCCTAGCCAACGTGCCCTCTGTTTATGGCACCCCATCCCATTGCAGGCACTGCCCTCTCCAGAGTGCCTCTCTTCCCTCTTAGCTATCTGCATTGTAGCTGCTGCAACAGGCAGGGTGGGAGGGAGGAAGAGTTCACCACCATGAAGCTCTCTCTGCTTCCTCCCTTTCCCCAGGGTATTACCCAGAGTAATGTCTCTCTTGTTTCTCCCTTTCTGCCACAGTGCTATCAGGTAATTTCCACAAATTGACTATGCTGTATCTTTTTCTCCACTGCAGAATCAATACAATTCTATGCTGCATTTCAAGCTTTTAGCTGCAAAAAAAAAAAATTTACAGTGTTTCTCACATTATTCTTTGAGTGCTGCTGTTGATAATAATTAATGCTTGTAACATCCTCAGTTGTGTCAAAAAATATTCCACAGATCAATTAAATTTCACAACACTTTTGAGGTGTTTCTAAAATATAGTACACCTCTAATTGCTATTTTCGGATACCACCCTTCTACAAATGTCACTGTTTTACTAGAAAGTGCATGATTAAGCAAAAAGGTCATTTTCTGTAAAGCAGGTGTGGTTTAGATTAATATATTGTGCTCTGAGGCTGTGAAGTGCTAAGGGCATGCTCCTTTTCATGTGCTGCCCCTTGACTAGTAAGCAGTGGTTAAGGCATGGTAATACAGTTGGTTTTGCTCATATATCCATTTCCAGCTTTCAAGATAAGTTCACTGCACTGCACTACAAGTGGTAGATATACTGGAGTATTTCAGGTACTGAAAAAACCCCAGTGCTGACAGCCAAGCGAGGGTCTCATGCTTTTTGGGAAGCAGGTGTTTTTAAAGGTGTTCGCAATATGTCAATGTGACACTGTAGTAGTCCAGCATCAAATTATCCACCTATGTGCTTAGAACACGTTTAGAAGTGAATTTTGGGCTTTCAGGCTGCTGAAGCAATTCTCAGACTTTTACCTAGTATTATTAAGTGTGCTTCACAGATGGAGAAACAGAGGCAGAGGAAGGTAACTCACTGAAGAGCGGATGAGTGACAGAGCTGGGAATCTAGTCAGGGTCTCCTGGCTCACAGCACTGTTACCCACTCACTGGACTGTGCAATCTCACTGGGCTTCATTTTCAGTTGGGTCAGTCAAATCTCAGGGAAGTTAAGAGCCTGGGCTTGGTGAGGACCAAATGTCCAAAACTCTGGGTGACACTGGTGGAAGTGTTGAACATGCAGTGTGCAGAAAACTCAACATTGTGCACTCTAGGCAAGTTCTTCCATCACATCAGGATGTGACCAGGGCAGAGACACAGACTCCTCAGTTCAGCTTCTGAGCTTGCAGCTGTGCTGCTGTGCAGAAGAGCAGTGGCTGCAGGTAGCCAAATTCAGGAAGAGAAAGTCACTGTCAGGGGCAGTTTTTGACTGGCTTCACTGAAAACCTGGTTGTGGTTCCTTCTGCCACTGCTATGCTAGCATTGCTCCGTCCTGAAAACATTTTTTTCTGAATAAGCCATGAAGGCTTGTGAAGTCTATATTTTAGTATATCTAATGAGAAGAAATAAAACCTAGAAGGGAGAGAGGGAGCTGCAAAGGCAGTCCTCAGTGGCATTCATCTGTGAGTGATGATTATGTAGTCGCATCTAAAATGTATTTCCCACCCCCATTCAATTAACAACTCAGTGTTTTAATGGACAGAGCCAACAGCTGCAAAAATCCATCCCCAGAGAGATTCCAGCACCTGAGAGCAGTCTGCAAAGCCTAGCAGTACTACTCCTCATTAGGAAGGAAGGAGATACATCCTCGTGGGAGCATCCTACCACTGTAAGGAGCTGCCTCCAGAGGATTTGGGGAGGGCTGGAAAGGGAGAGTGTCTAAGCCTAAACTAGCATTTCAGTTTTGCAAAGCAGTGATGCCTTCATCCAGTGAAGCCTGTGGTGAGCTTTAAATACATAAAAATGAGAATGAAGAAAGTGGTGTATGTTTCTTCCCCCCATCTCCTTCCTCTTTACCATGGTTAAAACTTAAGAAATATACCTGAAATATTGCCTCAAAGGCCTATTTCAGTGCAAAGCTACTGAATTTCCTTACCTCGGTTGTATCCTTTTATTTCAGTTTCTAGACCAAATTTATTCCTTGTTAGCCTAAAATATGGTTTTCAGTGATATAGGATGTGACATTGAGATAGATGTATATAGAATATGTCTGGTCCTGTGTACAGGAGAGCTCTCAGCATTTTTAGGCAAGTCTGTCTCCAGGCTTGGCTCTAGGAACTGTAAGTGGGAATATGCATTTTATCAAATAGCATATCTTTATTAATGCATCTTGCAAAGATCCTGGTGTATAAGTATATGCATCAACAGAGGATGGAGGTGCCCAGCCAGGAGTACCCAGTAGCCATGAGTGGTTTTCAAAGAGCTCTGAGAGCACTTCTGAAAGATATTGTTTCAGCAGAAAGCCTTCACAAATAACAATACCAAACAAAGAAGTACTGGAATTTCTTGCACATGCAAAAAGGAGACTTTGGGTGTGGGAGAAGTCCAAACACTGAGGGTGCTGGTGGTGACTGTGCTGCAGTTTCTTTGTAGGGTGTGTGGCATCTGGCCTCAGTTTCCTCCATCCTTTTAGATGGAATGGGTGCAGGGATCCAGTGAGAGTCCCACTTCAGTGCAAAGGCATCTGTTAAAGCCAGATGTTTGCCTTTGTAACTGCCATTGAATCTTGTCCTCAGCTCATCATCCTGGGAATGCATCTCACTCTGAAAGGGTGAAACTTGAGAGTTAATCAAGCTATTTCAACTTCTTTGTCAGAGACAGTGCTGATCAAATGTGTTTCTATCAACAGCTGCCTTTTTCAATTATGCAGAGAAAACATGAGAGGGATAGTGTGCACTGCAGTGTAGGCTTGTAATGATCTGAGAGGTGGCAATGGCTTTCAGACTGAGAAAAAGTGCAAGGGAGAGATGCTGAAGCAGTACCAGTAATGTTGCCACTGCAGAGCCCATTACAGACAGCAGCACCTCAGCAAATGAACCTTGTCACGGGTACCAAATAGTTCCTGCCATAGGCTAGACTGTGTCCTGCTATGTCAGGATATGCATTAAGCCCAGGAGCTAAGAGCTGTTTTGTCTCACCGTATCTTGGCCATTTGTCTGAAGCCCTTTTTAACCTCCTGCTGTAGAAATGGTGAACTGCTGATGAGAAAGAGGACCTGGTATGATAGCACCATTCCAGCAGCCAACTGCTGCTGGTGGTGGGATCACCAACACATGGGTAAAAAATGTGTTAATTTTCCCAGTCAGGAAAATGTTTCACATGTGTATGAAACTGTCTCATGAATATGTTTCCTGGATGTCATGAACAAACACCTTGTGAATAGCTTTCTGTTCAAATTGAAGAAACATGCAGTTATCTGGGACAAGAGAGACGTCATGGTGACAGTATAGCATTAGTGCATTACAAAGGAGACTTCCTAAAATAGGTGTTAGACCTTTTCCATCATGTTTGTTTCTATAGGGCATTTTCATGGAGTGTAGATGTAAGCTTGGGCCATAAATAAATTATTCTCTATTCTTCTAGAAAATTGACATAGACTAGAATTTTCCTGACGTATTTTTGCAGTAGTACTGTTAGGAATGATGTTTTATCTGCCAGATGGCCCAAAATTATTTCCCTTTCAATGGAGATGGGAGCACAGCTCATTCTTCTTGGTCAGCTCCAAAAGTGTTTCGTTTCTCAAATGGTTTTGCAGTTCTCCTGATTCAGCAGTCTGGTCTGTCTGGATCCCACTAAAATGAGGGGATCTGTCCCAGAGCTCGAAGGAGGGAAATGTTTTATCTGAAATCACCTGGTTGGTCAGTGACTGATCTGAGGGCAAAGTCTCTTCATCTGAAAATTTTTCATTTTCTGAAGACTAATCTCAGCAAACATTGAAATGTTAATTGTAGAACAGCTTCACAAGGGCTGAAATTCATCTGCTAAATCTGACTTCAAAAAATGCCTTGCTGAACCTCATGCCATTATTGATCCATGGCTCTTGACATGCACTTGCTTTTAATATGTGGGTAACAAGACTCCTCATTTCTGACAAAGGTTAAGAGGGGTTTTCTGTGTATTAATCTTCAAATAAAGTGTTGTTTAGTTCTTGTGCTACTCTACTGGAGAATGAAGTGCAATGTGATTGATGCTAAGAGAGAAATGTAAAATTTAAATTTGAAGATTGTTTTGTAAGTAGAAATTTATTATAAGATTTATTAGATCTACTAACTAATAACTGTTTTATTTTTTCTTTTAACTCTCTGTGCAGAACACCAGCCATGATTGGATGCTCCTTTGTAGTGGACCGAGAGTATTTTGGTGAGATTGGCTTGCTTGACCCTGGTATGGAGGTCTATGGAGGAGAAAACATCGAATTAGGCATGAGGGTGAGTATCACAGAAGAGGCTTTGTGCTGTGTCCATTTGCAAAGAAAGGTGGGGAGCTTGTGGCCCACAGAGTTGCTGTCTGACTGATAGGCTATTATGCTAGAGTAATTGATAGTGCAACACTATCTGGAGCTGACAGTCCCAGTAAATGAATGTTCCTGGCCTTACTGGCCTTGAGAGAACAGATAACAGTCAGAAATATGGTTTATTGGTTCATTCTGTCAGTGTCTGAACCCAGGGAGGAAGATTTTCCCCTTTCCCAGTAGCTCTGCTTGTGCAAACAGCTACACTATGTCTTCATGTGCTCATTGCCCCTAGCTGATGCTGTACCTGCAGAAAACTAAGGCCAGGCTGGTAAAAGTCAGTTGTAAGGTTCTACATACCACACAGGATGAATATTCTGATATTTTAAAACTTTAAAGATCTTCCTTATAGAATAAGAACTTCAGGTATTTGATCCTGTTGGATAGGTCAGTGGAAGTGTGGGCAGATGACTTTCAGTCCACCTTGTGCTCTGGACCTATAGGTTTGATACCTGTGATCCTTTGCCCTTGTTTTCAATTTGATGCTTGCCAGCAAGTCCTTCTGAAGTCCAAGGAACATGTCTGTGCAAAGCATTTGAAAATTAGGCCACTTAATGTTGCATGAACACAGTTTCCTCATTATAAAGCTGACTGTTTAATTATTTTCCCCTTACTCTTTATCCCCTGCTTCACAGTAACACGTCCCTGGTGCATGTAATGTGCTCATTAAAGCATATATTCTGCTCATGGTGAAATATTGAACATCAGATTAGTCCATTCTTTATCTGACTCTTTTTTATTTCTGAAATGGCTACAAACTCCTTCACACCAGTGGGCTGAGGAAGAAGGTCACTGCAGCAAGAGTTTATTTTCACATATGGGTGTGTATTTATTATTCCAGCACTGCAAGAGGGATGGGGTTTGTAATGAGACTGTGTGAATACACTGCTTATACTTTAAGGTTCAGAATTCACATAGGGGACAGAAAAACTGCTACCACAAATCATCCAATTTTCCTTAAGAGGGTCAGGCTATTACCAGGATTGTGTGAGCTTTCCTTTATCATTGTGCAGGGCTTTGAGCTGTTTGAAACTTTTTCCACATGGCTGCTTCCAGAATAGATTGAACACTCTGGCAAAACTCTGGCGTAGCTGATGAATAAGCCTCCTAAGAAATCTGAAAGCTGTCGCTCTTCCTTAGACGAGAAGAACTTGCTGAGCACGATTAGGGCTCCTGGTAAACAGAGGCAAAGGTTTTAATAGGATTATGAAACGGCACTTGCTTGAAGAGACAAGGATTTGAAGGGAGAGAGGACAGGTTTTCAGGGATAGGGAACCTGTTAAAGCCTGCAGAAACGCTGGATCTAGAAACCAGCTGTCATTCTTTGGCTTTTATTTTGGTTGGGGTTATTTTGTCCTTTGAGAAAAACTAAATCTACTGTTTGGAAAAGCTGTTTTGAAAGTACAAGAGTATGAGTTTGTTCGTTCTGAAATAAGCTGTATGTCCATAGCATGGATCTGTTACTCTGTATTTTCAGCCTGGATCTAGCATGGTGAGTATTACCCAGTGTCTGCCTCCTAATTTGCAAATCCTATGCGTGATCCCCTCCTGTGTGTCTTTCAGAGCTGTCAGAAACTAACAGCATGAAAACACACAGGAACCATCTCCCTTCTCTCTAGGATATTTATAAAATCACTGTGAATTTACAAAGGGGTTTTTTTTAACTCCAGAATCTCCAAGTAAGTTGCAAAAAACCTCTCCTTTCCCAAGGCCTGGTGCACTGACCCACACTGGGGTATTTGACATATCTCCTGCCCCTGCACAGAGGGATGCTGCTGTCTGTGTGTGACTCTGCTTGTGTGAAGCAGTGAAAGACAGAAAAAGGAAAGTATAAATGAATAAGTAAAGAACAAGAAGTAATATAAGTAATAAGATGGAAGGGAGGTAGTGGCACACGTTTGGCTGAAAGCAGTCTCTGTGTAAAATAGCTGTAACTATAATCCTTTAAATTTTCTTGCAAACTATTATCATGTTACTGCTAAAAGAAAAGGGATTAGGTTTGGAGTGTCTGAATTAGATCTAATGAACCCTTGTTTAAATTGTTTTAATAAAGTGGAATAGGGAAACTCAGTGAAACTAATGAGCTGATTTGGGAGGATACTGTTTGATAACCCAGCTAATTCCCATTAAATCTCTTGTTTATTAAAATATCATGATCTTGGGTATTCCACTATTGGCTTTGCCCTTTCCTAAATTCCATAGATGGAAATATTTAAATAATGAACCTAAGTGATTTTCTGTATTGAATGAGGAGTGCTGCCACTGACTGGGGTTACTATGCCTATTGAAAATTGCATATTAAAAATATTGAGGGCTCTGCAGATCTTTTGTAAACTCATACTATTTTTTTTGTAAGCTTCATGTTGGTTAGAGGGATGTGGACATGTTTGCAGGCTTGTGATGGTAAGGAAATAGATGGACATTTACATAACATCAGCTTGTACTCTATTTTTCAAAGATGACAGTTTTGCCACAGGATGGATAAATGCAGGACAGAATTCTGTTATGGACAAATGGTACTATTCTCTCAGTGTTCACCAAGCAGCTACTGAAGCTAATTGGAATTGTCTGTGAGCACCTGAAAACTGATTTTGGCCAGGAATTTGCCACATCAAATTGTGGCTGATTCCTCTGTGGATGAGTTGCCCTTCACGAGCAGAGGCAGCTTGGCTGGTTATTTCACTCAGACACTGCAGCACTGCTCTGCCTTCTTGTACCCAGGTGGGTTGAGTGAGAAGTAGATAGCCCTGTCTTCATTTCAGCTGTGGTTCAGCTGTCCTTCTCCCAACCTGGAGGCAGAGATAAAGAAAAACAAGGGTACTTTCTCCTGCAGCTAAGCTCTGGATGTGTCTCTGCCTGAAGAAGACACTTTAAACTCAGATTAGAGCATGTTCATCTTTGCTACTCCTGAACATCAAGTGGTCTCTCTGACCTGTCGTGCATGTCCCAATAGTAAGATAAATTCAAGCAGTGCTTGAGGAAGATAGGGATCCCTTTAAGTGAGGGTCCCAGATTACGACCCTGTAAGAAACTGCATGATTTGCAAGTGTTATCTAAGTTCCCTTCCTAGTGGGAGCTGCAGACACACTTAATTATTTGGAAAGGGATCGTATAAACATTAAAAGCCTAGTTTATGATTTACCTAATATAAGCAGTTTATGATGCATCTTTTTATAGTGAGTCATTAATCATTGCACTAAGGATCTCTTGCTTCCTCTGGTGCTCCAGTGATAAGGTGAATGAATTGCTGTTCTTTTTACTTTGTCCTCATCAACTGTAATGGTGGGTGGGAAGAGATCAAGCATTTATTTTAAAGGATGCTCTAGTAGGAATTAAATTCTGCTTTCAGTGTTAAGAATCCAAACAAATTAAATAAAAAAGATGTTTCCACATTGACAACTGAAAGTAAAACTTTCTCTCTTTTATGGCCAGCATCAAGGCCATACTGCTTTGTTCTCATATATGGTGATACACCTCAAAGGAGGAAATCTGCATTGATTGATGAATCTGAGAGGTGCTAGCCTAGAGATTTAAAAAAACCCAAACAAGCAGCACCCCCCATGCCAAACAAATGACTTGGCTCAATTTGAGGTATCTAAAAGAAACCTACTGTGTTCTTACACAGTGTGGACTGTGTTTACACACACTTTCCTGGCCAGAGAAATGAACTAGAGATGTCCCTGGGTACTGGTGTGACAGAATAACTCCATGGTAAATTCAAGTGATGGCTTCGTTCTCGAGGAGAACTTACCTGGATGCTTAGGGTTAGTTGTGACCTTGACTCATGCAGATGTGTCCCAGGTAACTTTGGCCAGTTTTGTGACAACTGTCAGTGGCATGGCCCTGTGAACACACAGCTCATCAGGACTGAAAAGAACTCTCTGAAAACAGGCTAAAACTCAGATCATGTGCACTCTCTGCTGTTGTGATTACACTGGTGATGGAGGCCAAGCTGCCTAGCTGAAGTCAAGCATGGGTTGTGTGCACAGAAATGCAAACCCACCTCTGGGTTTGCAGAAGTATTGTATGCACTGTAAAAAAGTCATGATGCAGATCCACTGAAATCTCTTTATGAGGAAATAAAACTCGTTACCTAATGGACTTTCATACACAAAAAAATCATTATACTTTCCAAACTTATGTTATATGCCCTGCTTTTATTTCTTTAAAAATAGATGAACTGCATTTTCTTTGAACAGAAATGCTAATGGTAGATTGTTGAGTAGTGGATTCTTGACCTGATTTTATTACCTTTAGCTAAGGAGATTTAGATTCCTTTGAGCAGTCAGTGTTTTAAATGCAGATTCTAGGCTGGTGTGCTGCAATAAAAATGTCACAAGGTTTATGTATGGCAAACTTTAATTCTGAATTCTGGACAATGCTTATTGCTCTGTGTGATTCATGAGGCCAAGTCCCTAGACTTAGAGCTAAATAAAAATGCTGTTCTGAAGAGTTTCTCAAAAATTCAGGGGTTTTTTTCCCACATGCAGTGCTAATATACAAATGAAAATTGTACAAAAATACAGGTTAATCCAAATGTTTTATTTTGGTAAATCCAAAAATGCTTCATTTTTATTTGGACCTATCCGAAGCTGTAATTTTTAGTATAAATTAACTCAATTTTGAATGAAAAGTTTTTTTAAAGAGCCTTTTAGTTTGAAGACATTTAATCACTTAAATGATGTTAACAAAACCCCATAATTGCTGACATCTGAAAATGTAGTGCACTCTGTCCTTAGACATGCCTATTCACACTGGAGTGCAATAAATCAGCATTTTCAGCATGAAGTTAGATGCTATTAAAATGTTTCTGAGCAGTTCTACACTGCCTAAGCAAAATCCTAATAAGTGATGTAATCTGCTGTTATTGGAAGTTGCCCCATTGCTTGGGTTGCAGAGATCCCAGTGATAAATCTC